ATATATCATCTGTCTATCTATCCATGTATCCATTTATCTATCTATCATCTATCTATCTATCTATCATCTATCTATCTTTTATCTAGCTAGTTATCTTTCTGGTTATCTATCATCTGTCTATCTGTCTATCTATCATTTATCTATCATCTATCCTCTATCTATCTATCTATCTATCTATCTATTTATCTATCTATATATCATCTATCTATATATCATATATCTATCATCTATCAAGGTGTCTATCTAATCTATCAACTATCTGTAGATATAGATATAACATACATGTAATGATATATAAAAGGTAAATAAATGTGTAAATGTTATGAGAAATTAGGTCATGTGATTATGAAACACAACCAACAGGCAATATAGATATAGATAGATATAGAGCTATAAATGACATAAATATTGATAGTTAGATAAAGATATATAGATACAGGTATCCTGCCGCTTCTGTTCCTCTGGAAAACCGTAACTAAGACAGTTTTGGTATCATGAAGAAGAGAGATGATATTATGAATATCTAAAATGTGGAAGTGGCTATGGAGCTCGGTGATGGGTAGAGACTAGGAAAGTTTTGTGTTTGAGAGGTTTGCATGCTGGACAATGCCCAGATTTCCAAGAAGGGACTGTTGGTCAAAATAAGGATGTCAAAGGTGATTCGGGTGAGAGCTCAGAAAGAAAAGGTGAGAGCTACAGAATATGGCAATAATCACATAAATAATCTTACAGAATACATAAATAATTATTAACAGAATGTTAGTAGAAATATAGATGTTAAGGGCCATTCTGGTGAGGATGCAGATGGAAAATCAACAAAAGATTAGATGAAGCAGAGGGTCAAATCATTGATTTAGAAGACAAGGTAGCATAAAACACCCAATCAGAACAGCAGCAAGAAAAAAAGTGAAAAAAGGGGCTTGTTTAAGGGTCCTCTGGGACAACATCAAAAGTATCAACGTTTGCATCATGGGGATACTAGAGGGAGAAGAGAAAGGTATTGAAAACCTGTTTGAAAAAATAATGAGAGAAAAGTTCCCTAACCTAGTGAAGGAAATAGACATACAGGCCCAGGAAGTATGGAGAATCCAAAACGAGGTGAACTCAAAGAGGCCCACACCAAGACACATCATAATTAAAATTCCCAGGTTTAAAGACAAAGAAAGATACTTCAAAGCAGCAAGAGAAAATCAGGTAGTTACATACAAGAGAGCTACCTTAAGACTGTCAGCTGATTTCTCAACAGCTATCTGACTCATTTGTAAAAATCTTCATGTAAAACAATTATTGTCCTGTTTCATTTAAAAATAAAACAAAATCCACACCCCTTATACGAGCTGTTATGTTGAAAATAATGTGCCAATTGCACAGCACTCTGTGAGGTGAGGGAGACGCCAGATGCTGTTTGGCTGGTTTATTTTTTTCCTAGAGCCATTTGCTGTAGGTCTTTACCATGTTTCCAGAGTAAAGTCAGCCATCTGGAGTGCAAATCTTATACCATGTTTCCAGAGTAAAGTCAGCCATCTGGAGTGCAAATCTTATACCATGTTTCCAGAGTAAAGTCAGCCATCTGGAGTGCAAATCTTATACCATGTTTCCAGAGTAAAGTCAGCCATCTGGAGTGCAAATCTTATACCATGTTTCCAGAGTAAAGTCAGCCATCTGGAGTGCAAATCTTATACCATGTTTCCAGAGTAAAGTCAGCCATCTGGAGTGCAAATCTTATACCATGTTTCCAGAGTAAAGTCAGCCATCTGGAGTGCAAATCTTATACCATGTTTCCAGAGTAAAGTCAGCCATCTGGAGTGCAAATCTTATACCATGTTTCCAGAGTAAAGTCAGCCATCTGGAGTGCAAATCTTATACCATGTTTCCAGAGTAAAGTCAGCCATCTGGAGTGCAAATCTTATACCATGTTTCCAGAGTAAAGTCAGCCATCTGGAGTGCAAATCTTATACCATGTTTCCAGAGTAAAGTCAGCCATCTGGAGTGCAAATCTTATACCATGTTTCCAGAGTAAAGTCAGCCATCTGGAGTGCAAATCTTATACCATGTTTCCAGAGTAAAGTCAGCCATCTGGAGTGCAAATCTTATACCATGTTTCCAGAGTAAAGTCAGCCATCTGGAGTGCAAATCTTATACCATGTTTCCAGAGTAAAGTCAGCCATCTGGAGTGCAAATCTTATACCATGTTTCCAGAGTAAAGTCAGCCATCTGGAGTGCAAATCTTATACCATGTTTCCAGAGTAAAGTCAGCCATCTGGAGTGCAAATCTTATACCATGTTTCCAGAGTAAAGTCAGCCATCTGGAGTGCAAATCTTATACCATGTTTCCAGAGTAAAGTCAGCCATCTGGAGTGCAAATCTTATCCCCAGCGAAATCAAAAAGAAAAATGACATTTGACCAAACAATAATTGAAAATGGACAAACAAGATATTATCTCTCATGGGAGGTTGGCAGAATTTTATTCATGGTTACAATCCGTGCTTCTCTAAAATGGGTCAGAGCTCAAGCTAATAACAACCTGTGGAAGAAAGAATCTTGCAGATGTATACAATTCTTTTATTCAGAAGCAATGACATTACAAAAGGACAACAATTTTTGAGCATTTCGCCAAGCAGAGAACCCCATTTGGGGCGATGCTGACAGTGCCTGAGTGTCTCAGGGTTCTCAATGGGGCAGAGTCACTGATAGACCTTCTGTACTGCCAGTTTGCTCAGCGACTTTAGATACAATATGAAGCAACTGTCAGTGGGTGCTTGCACAGGCTCCTGCAGAATCCCTGAGATCTCCATGTCAGTTCTGTGTGTCAATTTTGTGTGGGAGGTCTCAGAGAAAGGATTTCGTGTAGCTCAGTTCAGTTTGGGGCTGTCAGTGGTCTTTGTGTGGGATATCTGAATGTGGGTCTCTGTCAGGGCTTCTGGATAATGTTTCTCTGTGTGAGAGAGATGTGGGACCTGTGGGACCTCTCAGTGTGGATCTCTGTTAGAGGTCACTGTGTGGGTCTCTATGAGAGGTCTTTGTGGGTGAGGTCTCTCTATATGGGTCTCTCAGTGTCCTCTCTGTGTGGGTCACACTGTGTGGAGCTCTTCATGGCTGGTCCTCTTATGGCAGGAGAGGGACAAAGGGCCTTGCTCCTTCCTGTTTCTTGCTGTTCCATCAGCATCCCCATCTATCTGTGGCACTACTACTGACAGGAGTGTGGGACACACATCCAGCTTTCCCCACTCTCAGATCTTACCTCTCAGTCCCCAGAGATGACTCATCAGCAGCCAGGCTCAAGGCCCTTGCTCCGTGCTGCCCCATCCTGAGCTTCTGAGGGCCTAGGGAACTCTCTGCCTTGGTTTCCACTTCTCTCACACATCCTGGATGCACTTGCACTGGTGTACCCACCCTGAAGTCAATTCAGGATTGGAGCCCAGAGGCAGGACATGGCTCCAGAAAGAGACAGCACTGGCAAACCTGTGCCTACTCTGCTCCTTCACTTTCCCGCATCCCTCATGCTAGGGTCCTGATGGGTGTGGTAGCAAGTCCTTTTCTCCTGGCATCATGATCAGGGCCTCCTTGAGCAGGACACTCTATCGCGGCAAGGATGTCCCCACAGCTGGGCCCCTGGGCACCATGCCTATGACGCAGACCTCGGAATCACTCTAGAGAAATTGCTCCAGGTATGCTAGTTTTGCCATGTGGTCAGGCCCAGGCAGAGGCTAGGTGGGCTGGAGCAGAGGGTAGGGGACACTCCTGAACTATCCCTGAATCCTGACAGGTCACTTGTGCCTGTGCTGTGAGAAATATTATCTGATGAGCTCTTCCCCCTCCAGGCTCCGCTGGAAGAAAGGAGAGCCAGTAAATCTTGTTATATGACCCTACTCCAGTCCCTCAGTCTCTTAAGTCCCACTTGTCCCTGGGAGCCATCCTTGGGCAACAGGTATAAATCAAGGCCACAGACTGTATCCCGAGGTCCACAGGCCTGTGCAAGCTGATGAAATATATTGTCCACCTTCCATGCTGGAAGGCTCTGCTGTGCGTGTGAGACTGGTCTTCTGAGTAAAAGTGATAGGTGTCTTCTCTCGTCTTGGAACATAGACCTGAACTGAGATAGACACCCTAGAATGGAGCCACCATGAGCCACTGAATCGGTATATTCTCGACGCCCCCCTCTGCCTATGGATGGTGGTGGAATACCAGCGCCTCTTTGGTCACTGCAAAATTTTTGGACACGCCATGTCACTTTGCCTCTTTCCCCCTAACCTCACCCTGGGTCCCACCATCACATTGTGACTGCTCACAGTGTCACATCCTGCTCGATTCTCTGAAATAGGACTGTGGGCACCCATGACCCTGCTGTTCTCTTCTCTACAGCAGGTGTGGGGCCCTCAGTGCCCTCCGTGCTCCCCAGTGGCATACCCTCAGAGCTAGAGTCACTGTCCTTGTCCTCGCTGCTTCTCCAGAGCATGAGAAGGACAGAGGGAGGGTGACACTGAGCTAAGAGGGGTTTGCTGGCTCATCTCAAACATCAGGGAGAGAAGAACAAGATTTCTCCCACCTCTGGACTCAGGGCCAGCACTTCCCCCAAACTCCGCTCCTACTCTGGGTCACTTCCTGGAGACTGAGGGGAATTCCAGCCTTTGCAAACCCATCTCCTACAGCTCACAAGTTCAAGGTATAGAGAAAGCAAGAGAGGCCTGGCTGAGCTGGTTCTTGGGTTAGGATCTTACAGTTTTGCTCATCTTGCCATGTCCTGAATGCTTTTCTTTTTCTCATAATGATGGTATTATGAAAACCAAGTGCAATGAGGGAATGGGGTGAAGGTACGTATGCCATGCTTAGGTCAGCCTCTCTCCAGGGCCCCATCTCATTTGTAAGTCAAAGCAAGAACTTGGTGTGAGCGGACCCTGATTCTTTCCCTTCTCCCTTCAGGGCACAGACAGAGGCCACCAGGTCTCATGAGAAAAAGCATATATTTTGGGAAACAAATAATAGTGGTAGGAAGGAACCATTAGCACATGGAGGATGTGCTAACATGAGAAAGAAAAGTTTCTCTTTGCATGGTATACATTTTTTCTTGCATAAAATTCCTACCAGCAAAGGCATGAGAAGCACACTCTGGTTGGCCAAGAAAGACATATCTTGGAAGGGGACAGCGCACTGGACAGTAGTAGAGATGGCCTGAGGGTCTTGTCAACCTCAGCTCTTGCTGGTAGAGTCTATCTTGGGACCCCAGCTTCCTGGGTGGGATGAGCCACTTGCTGTCCCTGTCTCTGCTCCGTCTGCTCTTATTAGGGTGGTTATGTCCATTAGGGGTGAACTGGTCATCATCGGCCATATTTTTCATCACTCTTCTCTGCTCTTTGTAAGAGAGAGCCCTCTGGTAGCAGAGATGTGGACCTACTGGAGCCTGGAGTTCTCCTTTGCAGCAATTCACCTCTGAGGGACAGAGTCCATGGTGAAGTGCCATTTTCTCCTCTAAGATCTGTCCAACAGCTGTCACCAGTACCTGAGCCTCGGTAGCTCTGCTGCCCATAATTGATCTGCTTTTGACTGGTTCGCAGCTCTGGTCAGCAGCTGATGCAGGCTGGCCTTTATGCGGGTCATCTTTCAGTCCTTTGTCTTTCCTGGGGAACATCCACTGCAGAAAGTACTTTATCCTGTTTTTGAGGAAGCTTTCTGGTGGAGGCTGTTCCTTCTGCATGAGCTGGAAGGACTTGCTTCTTAAGGACTCTTCTGATTTCTTCCTCAGGGCAGCACTTATCCCACTGTCTTGCGAGGTCCTCATTTCTGCCAGCTTTTCTTTGTGCTCTCCTGGCTTGGGCCGTCCATTGTTTTCCTTCTCATAAGTGGGGATAAACGTCGTGCTCTGGCTCTTAGATTGGTCTTGCAACCTCAGGGACTCCTGTTGGCTGCTCCCTCCACTCGATATGTAGTCATTTAGCACCTTAGAAGCTGACATGTCCCCACTGGAAATACTCTTGGAACTGAACAGAGATCCCGGAGAAGCCAAGACATCTGCAACAAGGAACACATCAGAGTGACAGCCTTGAAGAAGTGTGTCCGTGGCACAGTCTTGAAGAAGCACACCAGTTTCACAGTCTTGAAGGAGCACAGTTGTGGTATGGCCTTGAGGGTGGTTCTCTGACTGTACCAACCGCTGAAAGTCAAGCTGACTAAGCTGTGCATCGAGGCATGGCTTTGCTGGATCTTGGGCAACCAAGTTTGTAGGTGATGAGCGTTTTTTACTGGACTCTGGAGACTCTGATCTCCTCAGGGTGACACAGGGCTCCAAGGTAACACTTAAAGCAGGGGCCTCTTTGGCCCTCACTGCCTTCCTGGCTTCTTTGGCTCTTGAAGATTGGACCTCTAAGTTGAGTTCCAACTTAGAGTCTTGTGAGGTCTGACCTCCACTCTCCTTCCTTGGCTCAGTCTTGGCCACCACTGAACTTGGATTTGGCTCCAGGCTCTCTTTCTCCACTTCCATGGCAATCTCACTATGCCAGATTCTGCCCACAAAGGGGCATGTGAGGGACTGAGAAGATACCCTGCCCATCTGTCCAATTAGAGGGCTTTCTGAGGACCCATGGTCATCACTAGGTGGTCTCTCTACCACATCCTTCTGGATTTCCTCACACGCAGTTGAGGGGGCAAGGAGAGGACTCACCAGTGTGGGCATTGACTCTACTGTTATCACCTTGTCTCTCAGAAGGGGCTGAAGACCAGGAACCGAATCATCTGATATCACCCTGTCTCCTGGAAAGAGCTGAGGACTGGGAACTGACTCTTCTGTTAGGAACTCTTCTCCAGAATGGAACTGAGGAGGTTTCCCCCCAAACTTGGTGAACTTAGCTTTAGAGTGGGCCCCAGATGCAGAGGTGGCTGAGGGGTTAAAGAGAGACCATCGAAGAGGCGAGGGTTGAGCCTTTTTCAACTTAAAGAATTTTACAGGCTTGAGAACCTTGAGGGGTAGGCCCCATCTGTGCCTCACCCAAAACCTTTTAATATGTGCTTCTAGCAACTGTCGAGCTTGTGGACGGCGGCTGAAAACCTCATGGGAGGTGTTCATGTGGGATTCCCAACTTTTAGAAGATGCTGGATTTCTGGCTTCCGTGTGCGCATTTGACTCTCTAGGAAGGTCTAGGGCATGATTAGCAGCAATCCTTGAATGATGAACATCCATGGGGATCCGACCCTCACTGATCTGCCCTGACGTTCTGACGGAATGGACTCTCAAGAAGTTTTCTGGATACTTCTTTTCTGGGCCCACTGTCGATGTCTTCACCAAATCTCTTTTTGAATCTTCATAGCTCTCTTCCAGAACCTTCACTGGGCAGCTCGTTGAGCCCCTGTGTACGTCTTTTATGATCTTCCTCGCATTATGCCCCACATCCTTGCCCAGGTCCATCCTTGGTGGGATCATTGCTGGATGCCTATATCCTATTTTTTCTGCATCCTGGCTGCTGTTTCCTGTAAATGCAGAGGTCTGAAATGTCCCCCGCATGCCCTGTGCCTGATGTGCCTGTGGGAATTCTCCGTCAAGCTGTGGAAGTTCCAGAGATAATTGCATCCAGTGGGGCAGGCCAGCCACGTGTCTATAATGCACGAACCTTTTCTGAAGGTGTTGTTCCAATTGCTCCAGAATCTCAGGGTTGATCACATCCTCAAAAGCAAGGGAGACTGGCCTGGGAGTATGGGAGGCCCCATTTTCCTGGGGAAAGTTGGGATTGACTTTGCTAGAAAGCACTTGAGGTTTTTTCACCAGAAAGGGGAAAGATCTTTCCCCTTCTAGTTGCTTCTTCCAAAAGTGAGGTTCCAGGTCTTGATATGAAATTGAGATAAAAGATCGTGCCTTATCCTGGGTTGTAGGGCAAGATACCCCAGTGGTCCTTGTTTGGGGTGGAGAAAAAGGTGGTAGATGGGTCTGGGTCTGGATCTGAGCCAGAGGTGGAGTCTGGAATTGGGGCATGGCTGGAGTCAAGAGTTTGGGTTGGGTCACAGGGTGGGGCAAGGGCTGGGCCAGGGTAAGATGTGAAGTTACTTTACGCCGAATTTGCAATGGTAAGGCATGAGGGAATTCATTGAATATGACAGAAGGAAACTCTGGTGGGGTTTCTCTGACAGTAGCCACCAGAGACTCACTATGCAGAAAGGGGAGACCCCAGAAGAGCTGGCTGCATTTCTGCTGTAAATTGGTCTCAAATGTTTCAGGATGTAGGTGCTTCTCAGGACCAAGCAGCTTCTCTGGTTTGCCTTTCATTCCCCAGAGGGCGTCCTGCTCATCACCCAGTGACTTGATCATATTTGTCAAAGAATTCAAGTGGTAGTCTGACCCTTCTTTTTTTTCTTGTTCCTTCCAAATCTTCAGTTCTACTCTCCCAGAGATCGGCTTCTGGACATCAGGGTTGAAAAATGAGAGAGTACTAGTCTCTATCTGTTCATCTGTGGGGTGCCGCCTGGATGAGTCCTCTGGTAGGTGATGGGACACTTGCTCTTGTTGAGACTTAAAGTGTGTTGAAGTAGAGAGGCTGTGGGCTTTGGAATCCATCTGCCACCGAGACAGAGTCGAAATGGAACAGATTGAGTGGTCAAGGCCTGACATGGCTGGAATAGGCGAAGCTGACCAAGGCATGTGTGGAGACCAGCTCACTGAGTCACACTTGGGAAGAATCAGAGTGGAATCTTGTGGTGGGGGTGCAGAGGAGGCTGTCAGAAGTGGAGGGTGGGCCTCTGAATCAGGGAGACATGAAGTGGAAGTAGACAGTGTAAGTGGCTTGGGTAAAAGGCCATCCAGGGGAAGGAAAGGCTCTGGTGGCTGAGAGGCACTCACAGATGAGCACGAATGAAAAGAAAACGAGGAGGTCCTTGGGCTTGGTGACAGGCTAGAGGACCAAGGTAGTGGATGTTCAGTCAGAGGAACTGGGGAAGCCAACGGGAACATGACGGGAGCAACATCTTCTACAGGCTCCCCACAGGACTGCTGGGATCCCGCAGGATTTGCTTTGCACACCTCACTAGAGAGGTCTTGACATGAGCGCTGACGAAAGCCACCCTCATTCGGGAGCCTCTCGAGGTGGCTGCAGGACACGGAAGCACAGGCTGAATCCAGGAGAATAAGGGGCCAGAAGGACAGGACGGGTAGTGGAGGCTGGGTAGCCTGGGGAGGGGTGGGCACCAGAAGACCGGGGTCCCCTCTAGTCCCCATGCTGTCTTCAGAATGCTCCTGTTGTCCCTCACTGGGGATTTGTAGCCACACCCCTTTCCCATGCCCCTCTCTCCCTTTAGGACAGTCCAATTTGGCTGGCAGCCTGGAGGGAGGTGTACCCAAGAGGAGGGGAAGATTTTTTATGTTCGCCAAAGGGAAACCAGGCCGTGAGCCTCTTCCAGTTCTTGCAGGCAATCTCTGCAAGCTAGAAATCAGGAGACTGGGTCATGCGATGAAAGCAGAGCCTGGGGGTCTTACAGGAGACTAAGACAATCACTTTAGGCGAGACACTTGGAAGGGAGAACTCTGGAGCCCAAGCACCTGAGTCCAAGGACACACGATTCCTGACAGTGGTGGCAAGGCTCAAGAAGGGTAGAGTGTTATCATTCACAAAGTGCCTCCACATTCATTACCCACCAAGGACCTCGCAACTAGCCCATGGGGATGGAAAGTCAGGGAGCACATCACACATGGATCTGAGAGAAAGTAAACAACTTGTTCACACTTGGACCTGGAGGTCTCCCACCTCCCAGTCAGACACTGTTGGTCTAATACAGCCCAAACGCTCCTTCTAGATGAAACCCATTTCCAGGCCCTTGAGGCTCGAGGCTTTGTTCTGAGCATGGCATCTAGGAAGTATCTCGGTTCTGATCTCCTTTCCAGGGGCCTCCCTGAGGGTTCTGTTTCCTGAGTTTCGGGTGTCGCTAGTGTCCTCAGAGACCTGGAGCTGGGCCCTCAGGGACAGAAGAGGTGGAGATGAACCTTTGGGAGCAGGATTGAGGGGCAGAATCTCAGCTTTCAATGTTCTACTTTTCTTCCTTCTCCTGCTCCTCCACTTCAGCTCCACTGGACAGTGAGACAAAATAAAAAACGAGGGGAGGATCTCCTTCTCACTGTCCTCTCTCTAGATGAACCGCAGATGCTCAGCATTCTGGAGTAATATGACTTTCTCCTTACATAATGGGACTCCGCATTTCTCCCCTTTTATTTTTAAAGTGGATACAAATATTTTTGTTTTTTGTTTTTTAATTTGAAAACGTAAAGAAGGATTTTCTATGTGAGACCCATCAGTGATTTCTTCCATCGCTCTTCCTCTGCTCAAGAAACATAGACATTCTCAGACCTACAGGCCCCTCTGCCACCGTCAGGTCGGATTCTGCTTTCCGAGGCCAGGGCCCCACTGCAGCCTCTACTCAGAGGTGCTCGGGTGCTCAACACTGTCCTCAGATCAGCCCCGACAGAGGAGAGGCTCAACACAGACTCCTGCCATGGAAAGGCAGCTGGAGAACCAGTCATGCTCAGAGGCCTGTCCACCTGCAGAGATCTAACTCTTACTTACTATCTAGTCCTCGGTCACTCGTCACTGCATTTGGGACTGTGCCTTGGAGCCCTCCACCACACTTGGACTCCCTGTCTGAGATCTTTGGAGAGAAAGTCCTCATGCCCAATCTAAAGTCTGCCTACCCTGCTTTGTTCCTAGGATGATGATATTTTATAATTTCCAAGTATTCTCATCTCAGGAGTCTTTCCAGGTGATTCAGAAAGGGAGAAATAAGAATAAGAATACAGATCATTTCTCTTGGTTCTGGGCCAAGGATTCCTTACCTCCTTGATATTTCTTTGTTTCCTACGTGGTGGTGAAGATGGCTTACTCTCGAAGAAAGGAAGTAGCAGGAAGTAGAGCCCCAGTCCACACAGGAGGGCGATGATGGTATCAGTCACCCACGGAGTTAAACTGGAACTCAGCCAGGTAGCAATAACACTATTCAGAGAAGAGAGAAAATACTCCATCATCTGAATCGCACTGCTGCCCTCAGGCAACTGTGCTCTTGGGAGCGGCTTGTGGACTAAAACCCCAGGCCCAAACCACAGAGCTGCATCTGGTCACAAAGGGCTCTTGAGGGGTCAATAACAGGCGGAGGCTGGTGGCTGCCCCCCGCCCCCGCAAACACCCAGCTCCACAGATCCCTCTGCCTTTATCTGAACCGTCCAGTACTACACTCTCACCCTGTTAGAGATACACAATTTTCTATTCATTCAGCCTGGAGCTCAGATTGTAATACCTTTGAAATCTCTACTTGAGCTCCATCAGTTTTATAGCTTTGAGAAATGTGATGTTGTTCCTGGAATTTTGGTTAATTCCCAAGAATATTTACTATCATGCTGCCCTCTATCTGCAGTACCATCCTTCTCACATACAGTTTTGCCTTGCCTCAGCCCAGATGTACACCTTATTTAGCTTTATGAATTCTAAAATCATTAAAACTGTTTTATTTTAATTAATCTTCACTATCTTCAGCCAGGGGCACTCAAAAATCAAATGAATAATTACCCCAAATTTACAAAACTAAATTAGCAGAAAACAAATTGAAATTGTTAAAAAGGCAAAGTACATTTTTCATGTTTCTAGCATTTTTGCTTCTGAAGTCAATAAAGGTTAAACTGCACAAAACCTTTTACTGTATTCTTTATACAGACACACACACCACTCTCCACACATACACACAATCCTTAAACAAATCAATCCAGCACTTCCAAATCTAAGAATCAAGCATTTCCTTTAGGTCAAAAGACTTTCTTCAGCAATTCTTGCATGTAGAACTCTATGTCTTTGTTTATCTGGACAATATTTTGCCTTTATTTTTAAAGGATTGATTTGCTAGACATGAAATATTTGGTTGACAAGTTTTTCTTTCACTTTGAGTAAGTCATCCCACAGCCTTTTCTCCATTGTTTCTGAGTGAAGTCACTGATCAATAGTATTATAGTCAGCTTACATATGAAGAGCAGGTTTTCTCTTGCTATTTTCAAGATTTTTCATTTGTTTTGCCACAGTTTGGCTCTGATGTGTCTAGGAGTGGATCTGTTTGTTTTTATTTTATTAGAGGTAAACATTGAATTTGTAGATTGATTTTTCTCATCAAATTTGATAAGTTTTCAGCCATTACTGCTGAAATTTTTTTTCTTCTGTCTTTTCTGAGACTCTCCATATATGTTAGTGTGTTTAATGATGCTACCCAGATCTTTTTTCTACAAACTCTTTTCTCTTTGTTTTTCAGCTTGCGTAACTTCTATTAGCCTATGATCATACCGACTCTTTCTTCTGGCATCTCAAATGTAATATTGAGCCTCTCTAATTTTTCATCTCAGTCACTGTAGTTTTCAATTCCAGAGTCTGTCTGGTTCTTTTTTAAAAAATTAATTTGTAGCTCTTTTTTGTTTGTTTGTTTGTTTGTTTGTTTTTTGTTTTTTCCTATTTGTTAACTTATTTATCGTCTTTTTATTTATTCTTTCAATATGTTTTTAAAAATTTTTTGTAGTTCTAGATTTTTAAATACTTTTATGTTTTAAACTTTACACTGGAGTTATAAGTGATTTTCCAGCCACTATTACAACATTGGCATATTCTCAATTTAATAATATACTTACTTATACCAACGAGTTTCATACTTTGACATGCTTTCCTGTTATCGATTGATGCCTTTTCCTTTCAGCTGAAAGAATTCTCTTTAATGTTTCTTGTAAGGCTAGTCTAGTGGTGATGAATACCTTCAGCTTTTGCTTGCCTGGGCAATTATTGCCCTTTTGATTTTGAAGGAAAACTTTGCTCTACAGAACTGTTGATTGGCAGTATTTTACTTTCAGCACTTTAAAAATATCATGCCATTTTCTTCTGGCCTGTAAAGTTTATGTTGAGAAGTCTGCAGATAGTTTTATGGGGGTTCCCTTGTATGTTATAAGTTGCTTTGCTCTTGTTTCTTTTAAGATTCATTCTCTCCTTGTTTCCAAGTTTGACATTTTAATAGTCACGTGTCTTGGTGTGAATCTCTTTGGATTTATCTCCTTTGGAACTCTCTGGACTTCCTATCTCTGGAAGTCTGTTTCTT